TCACGGGACACCCGCAATGGCATGGAAGCCTTGATGTGCCTCCATCACTTCGTGCCTGGTGAAAGGCATTCGTAGGCTATGTAATTGGTGGCGTGACGGAGCAGGACGTTTGTGACTGTGTGAACGCACCGCCACACCGAGGTCTTACTCAGACAATAGCCATCCCCAACCAACTTCAGAACACTCCCCACAGACTATTATGAAATAGTGCACATTCACCAACTGGCTCTGCGGCAGCCGTCTTTAATTTAGGACAACTATTCGCTGTCTCGCTCCCATAGTTTGACCAAACTCCCCATCACATTCATTCCCTTTAAATAGACTCCTAATTATGTGCTGCCTAATATTTTGCCAGCCGATGTGCCTTTGTATATTATAATGGAAAAACTAACAACCATCAATATAGTGACAGTTTTATTCTTTGCATAAAAACACTTCAATTAATTGAACACTAATTGAACACTGGGTGTATTACAACTTTAGAATTGTAATATTTATTTGGTTCTGCACTTTTTCTTGCCACAGAATTACAATCGTATCGACTGAAATGTGAAGAAGGTTTTTGCACAGTGGTGGACACTAGCGGAGTGAACTGTGAACAGCGATAAGGTATAGCTAAGAGTGGTCCAGACTAACCGAGCGAATGACTTACGGAAGGTATACTTAACTAAGAACGTTTCGGGAAACACGTATTAACGTAAAGGTACAACTTAAGGTATAACTTACGAACGACGTAGCGTTAAGAAGGTTTCGGGAAACGCAGCCCAGGGCAGCTAACAGTTGTGGGTTCCAACCCAAATGGCTGCCCACTGCTCCGGGTGTGTGTTCACGGTGTGTGTGTGTTCACTGCTGTGTGTGTGCACTTAGGATGGGATAAATGCAGAGCACTAATTCCTAGAATGGGTAACCATACTTGGCCACATGCCACTTCACTTTCACTTTCAAAGAGGTGAAATGCAATACCATTAGGCCCATATTTGGCAAAAAAAAAAAAAAGAGATGCAATTCCATTGTCAAACGATGAAATAATTTCAGAAAGAAAGAAATGTAAAAATTCTTGCAAATTCTTACTTTTCACATATTTTTTTTTATTCAATCCAGTAGCTGAATTCAGTAAGACCATATATAACAACAACTAAATAGAACATTTCATTCATTTTTTTAATAAAGTACTACTCAGAATTCATAATGTGTATCTTTAACCACATGCTGCCATGAACAACCATCTCTGTAACTACATGAGTGACTCTTATGAAAAACATAAGTTGTAAGCCGTTTATGTGTTTAAGTCAAGTCAAGTCAAGTCACCTTTATTTATATAGCGCTTTTAACAATACAGATTGTGACAAAGCAACTGAACAGCATTAATTAGGAAAATAGTGTCAATAATGCAAAATGACAATAGTAAACACTCATTTTTCAGTTAAAGACAGTTCATCATTGAATTCAGTGATGTCAACATCCAGCTCAGTTCAGTTTAAATAATATCTTTGCAATTATGTCAACGATAACGTTGTTTAATTTTCTAGTTTAATTCACTAGAAAGTACTAATTCATTCAAGTATTAGTTGGACTACACCGTTAACATTGTACAGTTTTGACTCACCAAAAAGAACATGCTCATAAGAGTCATTCTTTTGGGAATCAGTTAGACTACTCTGGTTGTACTAGCTATGCATTTTTCATACACTTAAACAAAAAAAGAATAAAAAAAGACAAAGGAAATGGCTCATAAGAGTCAGGAATCAGATTACTATGTTTGCTGTTTCACACTGTATTGAAAGTGTTGCGGCACCACTTACAGTAGCAAACAGTCAGTATCATATTGTCAGAGTATTTTAATACAGTTTTCAGCCCGCTCATTGGAAGAATGAATGTGCAAGAGCCGTTAACAGAACTGAATATAATTTTTTTAATAATGTTTTGTGAAAAAGCCTTGAACTTCGCTGTGTGTTTTCACCTCCATATGAAAAGCCTCTGTTTTATGTGTTTTCTGATACTGCTATGAATTATGTGACAACATTTCTAGCTTAGTTTGTGCTCCTTTTGCTAACTGGCTATCAATCATTATCTTTTATGAGACCAAGGTTGTGGTGATTCATGGCCATTTTCTGTGATTTATGGAACAGATGCAGAAGTACATGAGTCAGCTTTCCTCAAAATCCATAATATATATTCTTTCATAGAATGTCTAGATAGTTGTAAGAAGTTCATTATCTAATCAATGCTTGTGTGCTGATGAATGGGTGGACAGTGTTTAGTAGTGAAATTGGAGTTTTAGTTGAACTGTAATTAGAGGTACCTTGTATTCACAATGCCGTCTCTCCAGGGCCCAGTGCTCTGTCGGCCAGACCCTCATTAACTTTCCACAAACTGGTCTGCTTGAGTCCACAAAAGTCCTGTGAAAGGCCACAAATCATTAAGATTCTCAACACCGTTTCATTTTAATTGCTTGTCGACCTGTTGGCCATGACAGCGCTCATATTATTCCATACGCACTGCCCTGCTAACCCTACCCAGCACAGGGGTCAGGGAGCATCAACCGAACATCTGATGACACACTTTTAAACCTAGGTAATGGAAATTAAGGTCTTTGTGCTTGTTCAGTTGGCATTTGAGTTTAAATAGCTCAATTTATAGCAGAGCAAATAAGCTAATATTCACAGAAAGGAGTCACTTGAACCTGAGGATAGTTTCAGGGTGTTGCCACCACATCTGAAATGAGTTTTTCAGTCAAGGTCTCAGTTGGAGAGATTGCTGTCAACTGATATTAATTCACCTTGGCTCCAGTACGTGTCATAAAAAGCAGAGATTTAAAGCAAAAGAGTGTCAGGGACGGTTATTCCTCTCAGCGTGCGAGACTGACAAATCACAAGGGAAAGAGAAAAGCAAAGGCATTGGAAATATGAAGCTACATTTATCATCCATGTATTTAAAGCTATGCAATGTTTTGTGCAGGTCATCAGCTCCTTCACCCTCTGACAAATTAGTATTTAACGTGGCTTTATTTAAAAGGAAAGAATGTCTGAAACTCTGCTCTGGGTCTAGCATTATTTGTTTGCAAATATCACTTTGGTTTTAAGCTAGCTACCACAGAAGGGAATGATGGAACAAAGTCATATGTCTCTTTAAATGGAATTAATTAATTAATTAATTAAATTAAATTAAACATTTTTATTTAATATTTTTATTTAATCTGTACTTAAATGTCTGTGAAATTTATTGGAAGTTATTTTAATAACTTTTTGGAATACGTTAATTCAATTCAGTTTTTTTCATATCTGTTTTGTTGATAGCATTTCCAAGAAACTGCTAAAGGGCATTATGCTCTTTTTCCCCCAGATATCTAATTCTCCAAAGTATGCTCAGCACAAATTATCAGAGAGCATTAGGTGAGTTAATATCTGTAATGCAACAAGAAAACTGTGTAGCACCTGTGCTGCTCTCACAGTGGTAAAAACATATCAGTGTATCAGTACCAGCTCTGATACAACCGGGCAGCTCAACACTTCACACAACGCTGTTCAATATGCTTATCTCAGAAACACATGCAACCAAACCGATCAGAAGAACCTCCACACACTCTTTCATATTCTGGATCCACTGAAGTGCACCCACAACACAATTTCAGTTGAACTGATCCTAATAGATATCTACACAGATGCAATCATGTAATTCTGGAATATCACAGCCTACCTTTTGATCTGATTCTGCCCTTGTGCTGCAGGTGCTGAATGCGAGTTTGGATGATGGGATGGAGGCGGTTCTAGAGGATCTAGGTGGACCCATGGCCTCAATTCTGGCCAACAAGTCCATGTTATCCAGAGGTCTGGTGCTGCGGAGCTCTAGTAACCAGATCTCAGTGCAGTTCAGCAGTGAATAAAACTATTTGTAAGATCAAATAATTTTCTAAATTTTGATGCTCGCATTAACTCATCCTTCAAAATCCCAGCATCCTCTGGGTTTGGCAGCCACCAGAGATGAAGTTGCTGGCCAAAAGCCTGTTGAGTTTAAATGCAATTGAAGCACACGTGAACGCCGCTCCTGCTGCTAAACAGAGATCAATAGCGTTTGTCCCAGAGAGAGATTAAATGAGAGAGAGCTATAATGCATCTCTGTGCTCTATTGATATTTATGCGCTGGGGTTAAATGCTCTGTTCAAACGGTCAAGGGCTCAATAAATGCTATTAAGGCAGAGAGATGCAGCTCTGAGGCCATGAAGAGCACTGATACACTTGCAAAAGCAGTCAAAGTAATGAACCATTCGGTATACGATGACCTTCCCGTGATATCATGCTCTTCTCAGCTAGTATTTTACTCATAACATCTAGCTGAATGAAACAATTAATGGTTGCACCATGTTAGAATGCAGAATTTTATTGACTAATGTCACGAATCCGGTCTATGAACTTTCAATTCACCACCAGAGGTCACCCTTCCATTACATTGACTCTCGCACTACAAAACTGTTGCATGTCATCCCGGACTACATATCCCATCATCCAGTGCACTGATTGCACACAGCACTGATTGCACACAGCTGTAACCAATCCCACATTCACTATATAACACTCACTCTGATCCCTTTCAAACTGCTGAGTATTGTATAGCGTTTATCACTCTCACATGAAGAGCACTGATACACTTGCAAAAGCAGTCAAAGTAATGAACCATTCGGTATACGATGACCTTCCCGTGATATCATGCTCTTCTCAGCTAGTATTTTACTCATAACATCTAGCTGAATGAAACAATTAATGGTTGCACCATGTTAGAATGCAGAATTTTATTTACTAATGTCACGAATCCGGTCTATGAACTTTCAATTCACCACCAGAGGTCACCCTTCCATTACATTGACTCTCGCACTACAAAACTGTTGCATGTCATCCCGGACTACATATCCCATCATCCAGTGCACTGATTGCACACAGCACTGATTGCACACAGCTGTAACCAATCCCACATTCACTATATAACACTCACTCTGATCCCTTTCAAACTGCTGAGTATTGTATAGCGTTTATCACTCTCATAGCGATAGCTACTCTATGGAGCCTGTCTAGTTTTTCATAGCCTTATCTTAGTCTAGCCTTGTCTGTTTTCTTGTGTCCTGGTCTTTGCCTGTGTATCTCGGATTCCCCCCTCGTCTTGCCCTATTCGGATACTGTTTGCCCCTTTCTGGACCTTTGCCTTGTACCTGGATTTATCCCTCTAGTCTCGCCTTGTTGATTCTGTTTGCCGATCGTAGACCCACACTAGCCCTAGGAATATTCTTGTGTCTTGCCCTCTATATACCTGTTCCCATTGTCTGACCCTTGCCTGTTTCTGGCCATGTCGGTTAATAAAGCTTCGCACTTGGATCTGCACGTCTCACGTCTCAGTCACTCCATGACAACTATCAATCCAGTTTTGTTTGAAAATAGTGCTGGAATATTTAAATCCAAAAAAAAAATTTTCAGTCCAGACACCCCTCTTTTTATGCTAATTATTATAGTTATTATTTAATGTTCCGATATTATTTCATGCTTGTATTAATTAAATTAAAAAAGGCAAAAATGTGGCATTTTATTTGTTTTTAAGCAAACATATATAACAATGCAGCATTTAAGATCTCTTCAGACTTTGCTTCCACAGATTATTTTCAAACAAAAAAAATGATTTGATTACATACTTCTCCACTTATTTTAATCATAATGCATTAAGTTTCTTTTTTTAGACTCTGTCAGCTGACCCTGAAACGTTTTTGTTCTGCCATTTTAGTTCCCTTTCCATTATATGGAAACGTCTGTCAGTGGCTCTTTTTCCGCTGATAGACAGATTGGATTAGTGTTACATAAAGCCCTGGCATCTGTTGGCCATAACCCCCAAGCTGTGAATCTGCCCTGCTGTGCTTGAACTGAGTCATTATTAGTAATAACTAAACAACTGGGCATGAACTAAACAACTGAACATTAACCACCACGGAAACAGAGAGAGGAGGGCTGGTTATTCACAGCTGGTGAGATCAGCTGGTCATTAAATGTTGCTTCCGCACTTTTAAGCAGCATCTGATCGGTTTAGTGACAGATAAAGGAGTCTGGGTCAGATTTAAGCATCTGCTTTCTGTCTGTTTGTTCAGCTCTGTGTTCCTGTGGCTCAATTGCACTAGCAGCGCTAAGATCAAAGGTTCAGTTCCCAGGGAGCGCATATAGTGATTAAAAAAAGTTGCTTCAGATAAAAATGCCATTAAATGTAATTGCGGATTTAGAGGTCAAAGGTCACAGAACTTCTGCTCATGTTGTGACAGCCATGTTCTCAGTGTCTGCCTATTTCTAACAAACAAATTCAGCCACCTTCAACTACACTTCAACAAAAAAGATTATGTACTTAGTATTTTTGTCTCTTTTTTTTCATTTGAAATATTGAATCTATATTAATATTGAAATTAATGAATCAACACACTTTTACTTGAAAAGGGAAATGACTTAAGATATTAAGCCTTGTTTTCTGAAAATAAATAAATAAACAAAGTTTAACTTGCATAATTTTGATAGATTTTTCCAAAGACAAGACATAATATCTAATAGCTGTAATAGTCATTTTACTTTATAGAAAATGTATTTTGATTTTAAATGTTATTTGTAAGGGAAAACTAGCCACAAAAAAAACTGATTAACCATATGATTTTTTGCCGTATTTAATGGCTGCCTTAAAGCATACTGTAAGTGTCTAATTTCAATGCCACAAGTGTCACCAAACAGAATTTCAAAAATTATAGTTATTTTCAAATACATTTTACATGGTCATATACCATAAATTTCTGTTTCTCTCTCTTTCTCTCTTCAGCCTTTGCTCTGAGTTGTGCATCCCCGTTGGCCCCTGAAAATTGTGAAGTATCAGTTACTGGTCTTCAGGTGGGGGGCGTGGCCTATTTCTCCTGTCTGGTTGGCTATCAGCTCCAGGGCCCCTCCTCTCTCACTTGCCGAAATGCCACCACACCCTACTGGAGTGGCAGAGAGCCAAGTTGTCAAGGTATGAGAGGACAAACCAAAACTATGCCTGTATGTACTGCCTCAACTTGTGATTTAGTTGCATTTAAATGGACCCATGTTATTCCTTTTCATTAGTCTCATTAGTTTTTCTCATTAGTTTTTGGCAGTCTGTTGGAAATCTGTGCAAAGCATAATGAAAATGAAGGGAACTGATTGCAGCAAATTCATAGCAGTTTCTTTCCTTTTTGTCTTTCATGTCTAGTTTCTTGTGGGGGGATGGTGAAAAATGCCACTCAGGGTCGTATCATCTCTCCGGGGTTTCCAGGAAATTACAGCAACAATCTGACATGTCACTGGGTACTGGAGGCCCCTGAGGGCCATCGGCTCCATGTTCACTTTGAGAAAGTGGCACTGGCTGAGGATGATGACAGGCATGTGCTTTTTTTTACTAAGTATTTTTTACTTAATATTCTCCAAAACATTTCCCAAAATTGATAATAATAAGAAACGTTTCTTGAGCACCAAATCAGCATATTATAATGATTTCAGAAGGATCACGTGACACTGAAGACCACTGATAATTCAGCTTTGCCATCACAGCAATAAATTACATTTTAAAGGGGTCATATGATGCGATTTCGTTGATAATAATAAGAAACGTTTCTTGAGCACCAAATCAGCATATTATAATGATTTCAGAAGGATCACGTGACACTGAAGACCACTGATAATTCAGCTTTGCCATCACAGCAATAAATTACATTTTAAAGGGGTCATATGATGCGATTTCAATTTTTTCTTTCTCTTTGGAGTGTTACAAGCTCCTGGTGCATAAAGAAGATCTGTAAAGTTGCAAAGACTAAAGTCTCAAATCCAAAGAGATATTCTTTATAAAAGTTAAGAGTCAACCACACCTACCTAAAACGGCTCGTTCTAACACGCCCCCACATGTCTACGTCACGATGTGGGAAGATTTGCATAACACCGCCCAAATGTTCACGCAAAGAAAGAAGGCGTAACTTTTATTCTCGCTGTAGTATTGTTGCTGCCACCATGTCGTGAAGATGCTGTGTGCTGCGTTGTGAAAGCGAAACTACTTTGTTTGGTCTTCCAAAAGAGGACGATATCCGCTTCGTCATGCCTACAGCTGATCCGTGCTGGTCGCTGAGGAAATACTACAACTTCACGCTGTGGATTGCCAGATCGGCTTTCACCGTGGACGAAGCGGAGTCCA